TGAACACATTACCATTGACATCTACAATAGGAGGCAACGGGCAAAAAAAATCTTTTATCATTTTTTCCAGGAGAAAGTAGTTTGAGAAATGAGAAATTTATCTGCCTCTTTTGACCAGGCTGCGAGTATAGTCCAGAACTTCAAATGCTTTGCTCTTAAAAACTAGAGCAGATTTAGTGGCTCCATATCTCAGATATTTCTATCTGCCCCTCTTCAGTACAGGGATGGCTGGCTGCTCAACAAGCTCCCCTTCCTCTTTTTCCTTCCTCTAAGCTGTGCACAGTGAGAGTTGTCTTCACCGTATTTTTGTTCTCTAATGGCGTAATAAGCATGATTCTATTAATGCATCATTCTATTAACACATCATTCCATCTTTGCTGGTAATTTTGAACAGTACAGCGTATGAGTTGCCGTGCTGCAAAACCAAATAGCTGCAAAATGTTGAATAATTAGTGAGGTGTGTAAAATTGCAGTATCTTTAAAATTAGTAAAGTTAACTAGTATATTATTCACCTTGTTCTTTAGTTAACAGCTTTGTGTTCTCTGTGGGATGGAGTCAGGTATGTTTGGGAGAGAGAGGGAAGGAGGCAGTTATTTGAGTAAGTCTCTTGTTGACTGTTCTCTTAGCATGAATGTGAACATGGAAGCAGATGACTTGAGAGGTGCTTGGAAAAATCAGTCAAGTTGATGTACATTAATAGTGACATTTAAAAGCAGTCAGATTCCATTAATGGCAAGTAAACCCAAAGTGAGGACACTGTATTGTAAACTGTTCTTTCAGCTTAACAATAACCCACAGACTTTGGACCAACTAAGAACACTGCATTTTCAGAGAAAAAACAGCAGTTCTTAAGTGTTTGCATCTCTATTTTGGGGGAAGAGAAATATCATACATTTTGCACAATTCTTGAACTGATGTCACCAGCCAAGTGGTTCTGAATTTAAGTCAGGGACATATCTTTTATTTGAGCAAATTTTGCAGCTACTGGATTATTGTCTGTCTTTACTGCAAGTTCCAGTAAACAGCAAGAGTGTCAAAGGATATCTAATTTACGCTTGAAGTAAATAACCAGTGTCTGATGTTTCAAGCTAGGAGTGGGGTAAATAAGAGTGACCATTAAAGCTGCTTGTTAGCATGGAAGATGTCTCCATTCTATCTTGGTAAAAACAAAAATGAACTTGTCATCGTATCAGACTAGTTTTGAATCATGAAAACTGTTTGCCATTTTGTAAACTAGCAAATGATGCACATATTTTGTTTTTCATGTACTGGACAAAATAAGTAAAATTAAATCTGTTCCTTTGTTTTCTTTGAATGAGGTCTTCCATGTTTAAGGAAAAGTCTTGCCCTATTGCATATATTTTGAGGAAAAACATCTATAATAATTTCCATTTGGGGGGGACTTAAGGATTCTTCTTTGTCCTGTTCAAAGCACATTTCACATTTTCTATGTATAGTACTTGAAGTTCTTACCAGAAAATTAATTCTGAGTTTTGAAGTCTTTATCAAACTACATTTAAATTAATGCTTTATTGTCAGATTTTACAGTATATTTTCCCTCTACTTTTTTCTTTCTTTCTTCCCATTCCATATATCTGAAATTTACAATCCAGGATATTGCCATGCCTCTCATGGAAACTGTTCTGGCCCCAAAAGTAACAGCAGATACTAAGTGTGGTAGGAAATTAGAACGAAGCGTCATTCAGCTTAAATGCCATGAATAAAACATTAAAACACCATATGGACAAGTTTACATTGTGCTTGGTCACCAACCATACTGTGGACTTTTAACATTGTCCCCAAAAGTTTTCATACGCTGTGAAAAGGGCTGTGAAGAAACAGAGGACTATATGAAAGAGAAATGCATTATTTCACAAATTCATAAGAAAATTCTTGGTGCTCATGAAATGACTCCATTCAATTGTCTTCATAAAATTTCAAAGTTTCTTTGTCTCTTGGGAGAGATTACATTGTCCTTGTAACTCCCCTAGAAACCTAGACTCACCCTGATCACTCTGAATAGTTAGCACAGACACTTATACAGGACAGATGTTCATAATTTGGAGTCCATGTAAACGTGTATCTACTTAAGTCTGTGCATTTCTAAAGTGAGTAGCTCCTTTACTACCATTATATTTTTGAGCAAAATTCAAGGAATACTATGACAGTAATATGAAAGATAAATTAATAGTGTTAAGGAAAACAATTCCAATGACAATGACACCCAGAGCTTTGCATCTAGTAGGAAGATTTTTTTTATCATGCCAATGATTTTATAGTAAATGCCCCAAAGTGTTTCATGTCCGCAGACCATATTCAATCGATTGTAGAAGGTATAGACAGAGGGTGAGTGAGGTTAGGAATTTGACAGGATACGTTGCCAGCATGCTTAGGGTTATCCAGTAAGACCTTTTCCTATCTACAGAGTAACTGGGGTATGTCCATCAGTCACTTAGTACTGTGAGGGAGTAGGCTAGCTGAATACACAGAAAGCAAAGAATTTTCACAAATAATTACACTTAAAAGTAACATTAGGTCTTTGTAAAACCATACTTTACTAGAAGGGAATGTGTATTTTATTAATACTATAATTATTGGTGAAAGGGAGTTGACTTTAAAATCCATAGCTTCTAGTAGAAAGACCACTTGCACATTTGTAAAATATAAAGGTCCACACGACAGTAGTCCAGCATACCTGGCAAGCTTGGTGACCTTTTACACAACAAACTGAGATTAGGATAGAGACAATAGCTTTTTCTAATATTTAAGGCAATAGTAAAATAGATTGTTGAAACTGGATCTTCTTTGTTGACTCATTTGAAGAAACAAAGACAGGTGTGGTTTAAAGTTTCTGGACAAAACCAGTCTGGATGCTGGCAATTGTCCTGGCCAGTTGGTCTTGAATTGATCCGTAAGTCTGGAGATAAGGGTTTTGATCTTACTCTTAGATTCAATAAGTTCCAGCCCTAATCCTGCTGAGGTTTGTCCTTCCTTCTCCTCTTCTCTCACCACCACGTGGGCAAAACAAATTTATGAGTCCCTACCACAATGGAGGTGAGTAGAGACCTGAGGTGTGGATGTTTTGGATATAGATATTGGGATAGAATTATGAAAAACTACTTTGGGGAGAAAACTTGTGAGTGTTCTAACAATTTATAGACAGATACTGCCACCCCAAATCAATATTTGATATATGACCGAAGCCTGAAAAATAGTTTTCTTTGGCTGTGTCATGTGATGCCAAGTAGGTCAAACAGATTAAAAGTATTAATATTCTATTAGTTTTAGACAACACTTTGTATGTTATATGTATTTTTATTTTCAACTTATTGTCTAAAGAATAATTCTTCTGAGTAAGTATCCTATTACATTAGCCTTTTTTGAAGAATCATTCAAAAACTTTTAAGAAATACATGCTATATTAACATCCTTGAAGAGATCACTAGATATACATTTACTCTCAGTGCTCTACTATTTTAACCCTTTGTTAGGGTTACCAAAAAAAATCTTATATTTAGCCTTCATTATTATCTTTAAAGTTATTGTTTGCCTTCTTTTGGCTATATTAATAATAATATATGCATGTATTTTATTTTTTTCTCAGTATCTATCCACATGCCATTTATTTGGGTATAACAATTTTTAAAGTCCATACCCATGTGTTAAATACAAAATTTGCAGCTTCCAATTGAACTTGACTTGGCTTTCAATCTCCATTTTGTCAAAGGTAGAAAATTCAATTTTCCCACCTAGTAAATAGTAAATTGCTTATCTCAGTCTTTATGTGGTAAATTCACACTCAGTTCTAGAATTCCCCTTTTCCATATTGCTCTCCCCAGGGATTACCAAAGGCCTGTGAAATTATACATTAGTTAGGAATTGGAAGGAAGAAAAGTTTGGTGTCCCCTGAAGCATAAATCTGCAGTGTGCTCTGTACCTGCTGGAGATACCCATTGTCTTACCACAGCCTGTGGCTCCTTTAATATATGTTGGAATTACTGACAGTATTCCTTCATCCCATATCTTCCCATTGGCTGTACCTTGTTGAACATGTCTGTGCTTTTCTGGTCTGTAAGAGGCTCTTGCATCTTTCATGCACTAAGCTGCTGGCCATATTTTGTGAAGCCACCCTCAGATCTATTTACATTGAAATACATGCCTCCCACTACTTTTAACACACACTAAGCTGGACAGGCAAATTCAGTCTCCTCAGGTTATACACCCAAGGAGTGAGGCACACCCCCTCTATGGCTCCTACCATTTCTCTACCTCTAAAATTTAGCCTAAAATGTGGTAGTCGGTAACAATATTATACTGGCATCAAGGCTCTCTTTACTCTCTCCCCCTCCCCAAACTCCTGCATCTGGCTCAGAAAGAGTTTTACTCTTCATTCAGAATAGAGAAAAATTAGCTTTCATATCAGCAAGTATTCTTCCTAAATGTATTTTTATAATATCACATATGCTCATATCTCTCTATAAAAACACATCTTTACCCTGGCTAGTGTGGTTCAGTGGATTGAGCACTGGCGCATGAACCAAAGGGTTGCTGGTTTGATTCCCAGTCAGAGCACCTGCCTGGGTTGTGGGCCAAGAGGCAACCCATCGATGTTTCTGTCACACATTGATGTGTTTCTCTACCTCTTTCTCCCTTCCACTCTCTCTAAAAATAAATAAATAAAATCTTTAAAGAAAACACATCTTTCTGAAAAAACTATCTCTTGCAGTAAAAAATATTCAAGGTTATTGCTTTTCTTTTTACTTATTTACATTCTATTTAGAAACACAACAGATTTCTTTGGGTTAAGTTATTATCTGTTATTTCCCCTGATGTAACAAATGCCACTGATTTGATGAATGGAAGGCCTAAGTGCAATGAAAAAACTATAGGGAAAAATTTCAGATTTTATTTAAATAACTGGAAATACATACATAGTAAGGAAAAATAACCGGCTTTTATTAAAAATTATATAGATCCTTTAAAACAAGTGTCATGGTCTTTATAGATTGCCTTGGATAATATCAATGATTTCACGATAAACTTGATGATATGCATCTAATCCAAACAAAAAGTCTATATGATTGTAATAAGAAATAGTTTTATGGTAAATATGGTTTCTGATTTCAGAAAGTAAAATGTTAACATCTTCAGGATCAGCCAGTAAGTCACTCTCACCATTCCAAGTTGCAGTTGACACATTCATGTTTGTCACATTGTATAGTGGAGCAGCTGTCTAAATATAAATGAGTAAATATAAGTGTTTTCACAAGGAATAACACTTAGAAAGTGTTATTTACTGATTCTTTAAATGTTAAGTTAAAAAACTGTTTTAAAATAACCTGAAATTAAATAACTACTATGGAAGCAGTGAATATGAAAGAATAGCTATTATAATTTTTACTTAGAAATAAATCAGATACAAATCAAAACTAGATAGTTGGTTCTAATTCAGAGTATCCAAACATCCCACAGAAGTAAATTCAGTTTTACTTACACAACATGAAAGTGTGTTAATCAAAATTTTCTGTGGCTATCAATATGTTTATCACTAAATAATAAATACTGGTAGCCAAGGTCAAATCTGGTTTTATTGAATTTAATGTTTACGTTATTTCAAACTTTACATAAGCAAACTACATCCAGCATGGAGTTTAGCTAATGAATAAAAGTAGAGTGGAAAACCATACATTTTGAAACAAAAAGTTGGGCTTTAATAGTGCAGAACTTCTGTTATTATACTCATACTACTTTTTTTTTTACCAACTTTGCTTTCACTTCTACATTTTCCAAATTATTATATGCATTTATCTTAGCTTCCTCAATAGACTAGTTTTAGGGTCAAGAACTATATTACACTTTTCTTTCTTATTTAATCAAACATAGAGCTATGTCTATTACAAACATAATATTTTTTTCTCTTGCAGGATGGTCAATTATTCTACTGCCTGTCAACTTCTCTAGGCTTCTACAAGATATTTGTTAAAATATGTACAAAACATGGAAAAGCATAGCAGTGTTATTTACAATAGCCAAGTGCTGGAAACAGCCTCAGTGCCCATCAGTAAATAAGTGGATCAAGAAACTGTGGTACATTTACACAATGGAATATTATGCAGCAGAAAGAAAGAAGTAACTCCTATTCTTCATGACAGCATGGATGGAACTGGAGAGCATTATGCTAAGTGAAATAAGCCAAGTGGTGAAAGACAAATACCATATGATCTGACCTATAAGTGGAACCTAATCAACAAAACAAACACACAAGCAAAATACCACCAGAGACATTGAAATAAAGAACAAACTTACAGTGATCAGAAGAGAGGGAACAAGGGGATAATGGAAAAGAAGTAGAAGGGCAAGTCAAGGAACATGTAAAAAGGACCCAATGGACATAGGCAATGGTGGGGGGGAGGAGATTGAATGTGGGAGGTGGGAGCAGGTAGGGCAGAGGAGAGAATGAGGGGGAGAATGGGGACAACTATAATTGGATGACAATAAAATTTTTTTTCAATTAAAAAATAAAATAATATGTAAAAAAGGAAAACATGGAAAAGTCACTTTGACTGGATGTGACAATATGAATCAAAAGCAAAATTATCTTTATCTACTGCCCCTTCTTACTGTGTTGTTGTACTCTTGGGCTTAATAGATAAGCCTTTATCTATAGCAAGATATTCTGAATTGATCACGGACAGAGTTTTTAGTTTACATATAATTATGTACCTGATTAAAATGAACCAAGTTCAGAACAGGACTGCCCCAGTCAAAAGCTTTCAAGTAACTAGAATTGAAAAGCTGAAAGAAAAATAAAAAAGCAAGACTATATTCATTTTTTTCATCACAGTGGCAGTAGAGACAAATTAGGAATGCATTGTACATATGGCCTTTTTTTACTGGGTTTGTTGGTGTATGTGCAGGTGACCTTCATTGCTCCTCCCTTCTTTTGCATAGGATTATGGGTGGAGGAGGTGTGAGTTGGGGGCCAGGGGACTCTACAGAATATGAATCTTTCTTCTTCATTTAAATGCACATCACTCCAAGGCCTTTTATCTTATTAAAGAGGCGGCCTGTGTGTTTAGGGTAACATTAGGCTTCACCAGAAATCATTAGCTTCATTCACAGATGTCAAAAGTGAGGTGTCTAACACTAAGTGATCTAAGATTAACATGATACTTCACTAAATATGCTTGCTTCAGCCTTAACACTCACATTCTCACTACCACTATGTGCTCCAAGCTTATTTGGCCCAATATGGTTATGTCCACTTTCTTCCTTGATTATGTTTTCATTACAAGAAAATGTGGAGTCTCAGGTTCCCATCTTCTCTAATACTATAAACCTTGTAGGTCTCCAAACCACCATGCCCCCCACACCCATTTTATCTCTTTCCAATTGTCCCCAACTATAAAAACTCTCAGTGTCATCTGGAATTCCTTCATCAGTCTAGATCTTAAAACTCTTATCTAATAGGCCTCTGTATCTTCTTGCTCTGTTGAACATCTGATTTTCCCTGAGAACACTTTTTTTGTAGCTCTTTGTTTCTACCCAAACTGGCCAAGGTTAATTATGACCTAGATATTTTTAAAACTTTGGTCAATTCTGAGATAGTTTCTCATGTATGAGCAGTACTTGACACAAGTGTTCATTCACTCATCCTTGAGCTCTTTCCTTTAGTTACCTTCTAGAACAGCGTTATTTCTTGGTCTTCATTTTCATTCAATGTTTCTTTTTAGTTTTCTATGTTATACTTTTCTTTCTGACCTCATAATCTTTTCATATGTTAGCAGTCAATCCTTGCTTCTTTTCTCTGTGTTCATTCTATTTGTGTTCTCATCCAGTTTCTTGGTTTTAAATGTCATTCATATTCCAAATGTTTATCTACTTTTATAAGTTTCTTGTAAATTATGGACTCATAAAAAACTGCCTATTCAAATTATTCAAATTCATCACTCGGATGTCTAATACTTAACAACCCCAGGAGAGAACATCTTAGCTCCCTGCCAAGCCCACTCTACCATCAGACCTCTCTTTCTCCTTTAATGGCAATTTTATCTTTTCATTGCTTAAAAAACTGTGGTAAAAAACTGTGGAGTTATCCAAGATTCTTTCTTCTCACATCTTATATAATCCATCATTAAATTTTGTAAATTTTGTTTACAGTATACACATATTCAGAATCTAACCATTTTCACCAACTCTACTAGGAACACATCAGTGCAAGCCTTTATTAATTACTGTTTGGGTTTCTACAATAATCTCAAAAATTGATCACTGCCCTTACCCTTGCCCCACTACAGTCTACTCAAGTAGCAGCTAAAATGTTCTTTTAAAAATGTAAATCCTGTCATGTCACCTTCCTGCTCAAAAACCTGTAGTGGTTACCCACATCATACTGAATGCCAAAGTCCCTGCAATGGCATATGAGTTCCTTTCTGTTGCCCCATTGCGTTTCTGCCTTTTCCTGTGACTCACTCTCTTAAATTGCTCACATTAGTCGTACAGACCTTTTATCTGTGCCTTTCAGAAAGGCTCCTGACTCAGGGCTTGGCATTAGCTATTTCCTTTATCTAGAATGCTCTTACCCAGATTTTCACATTGCTAACTTTCTCATCTTCTTCAAGTCTTTTCTCCAATGTCACCATTTCATCGTGGCTTGGCCTAACATTTCTACTGAAAAGTACAACCTACTACCTAGCATGCCTAATTTTTCCCCCCTAGTTTCCTCACATTTTTCCATAGCTTTTAGTCCCTTTTAACATTTTAATAATTTAGTTATTTGTTATTTTTATTGTTTACTGTCTGTATATCTACTACTAGGATTTAAGCTTAAGGAAGACATGAATATATTTTTGTTCACTGATTTATACCTTGAGCGTAGAGCAGTATAGGATGCAAAGTAAGTACTCAATAAATATAGTTTCATTGAATGAATAAATGCAAAGGCTGCTCAGATTTTCCTGGTCTAGCTATAACTAAGTATAAACTAAACTTAAGGATAAGTAATAAAAATAATTTTAATAATTTATTCTTAAACAATCACTTAATAGATTTAAACATTTTTAAATGAGAAGTCCTTAACCAAAATCTCAATGACACTTTAAATTTACCTAGTGTTTATTAAATTTAAAGAACACTCATAATTATCTTACTATTTAATCTCATAATTGTTAGGTCAGAAAATTATTATTAGTTCTACTTTTTAAATTCACAAGATTGAAGGAGATTAACTCAATACCATTAACAGTAAGGTTCAGAGAAAAGATTCAGTGGTTGCTATTGTGATCTCGAGAATAGTGTTCTTTCTGTGATATTATCTTGATTTTCAGCATTAATATGATATTCACACTGAATTTTTTTCTTCATCAGTATTTATTTAACAGAGATTTTTGAGTATCTACTCTTTTCCAAGAACTCTTGGCCTTGAAAATATTAAAAAATGAACAAAACTTGCTAATGGTCCCCCTGGAGTTCACAATTTAATGGAGAAGAAAATGTAATCTTGTGAAAAACTAGTCTTAATTTTATTTGTTTGCTTGATTTCTTAAAGGAATGGCTTTGAATCTTCAAGTCAAAAAATGGACATGACTTAGATGGTCCCTATTCTACTGTTCTGAATTAACATTTTCTCAGCTGTGAAACTGAAAATAATTATTTTGTTCTTATTATTTCTTAGCATTATTGGGTCTAATAAATTATATTAATATATTATAAACTATATTTTTTTACAAATATGTAATAATTATTTCTATCATTCCAAATTTGTCATTTTACAGCAGTGGCATGAATCCTAGAATGATATGATAACCCATGGATAATATAAATAAACTTGCACTGAAATGTACTTTAAAAGTTATACCTGAGTCCAGTGGAGTACATTTTGAACAGAGGTTCCTGCTGGGTTTTGTGACATATAAATATCCATACGACTCTGAGGGAAGAAAAAATTATTTTTATTCTTAGTCCAACCACAGGAAGTGTAATCTTTGATATTTATTGAACTAAATAATTTCAGAAAAAGTTAATAAATAATACCTATAAAACTATATTTAAAATAAATATATAAGTATACTTATTAATTTTAGAATTTCTGCATTAAGATAGAAACTATTATTTTCTAAGTTATGTGGTCTATTACCCAACATTGAAAACAATCAAAAGTGATGGAACACACACAAACACACCTTTTAGTGAAAACACTAAAGAGCAGAAAAAATAGAAAGAAATTACCAGTACAAATTAAAAAAAAAATAACTAAGAACCCAAGGAGAATAGCAAAGTACTACAGCCACTTTTTTCCTTAATGTTATTTTAGAGAATTTGAAGTTTCATTCTGAGGTCTTAGCTAGTTGAGGAAAATATAAATTAGCTGAGGGCCTCCCAAGGCAGTTAGAGATTTTTAAAGAAACCTTTTCCATGATAAACTGGGGGCCTAATGTTTTACACAACTGAAAGTGAAGCTAATTAAAAAATATAGTGGCCTCATGTCAATCTGTAATCTGGGTTTGCCTACAGTCTTTGGGAACATCAATCAGTGAATAAGATATTTTTAAAAATACTGTATTTAAAACATGTATAGCTCTGTGTTTGGTATATAAGAAATAAAAGTCCTAATATTGACCCTAAAATTATTTATTTAATTTGGGAAAATAAAATATGTAATAATTAGTGTAAAGGAGGAGTTAATAAGCAGTTGGTAAAAATGGTATAACAAAAGTCTTAAACTTTTAGAATCCAAGTCTGTCTACCTCAGAGTTGATGCTTTTCTTTCATACTGTTCTACCTTAGCTAAATTTCATACCTGATGTGGTTTGCTCATTTGAAAGCCAGAGGTAAAATATAAAGGTCAAATTTAATAAAATCAGATTTGATCTTGGTTGCTAATATTTGTCATTTATTGATAAACATATTAACAGTTAACAGCAACAGAAAATCTTTATAAACATGTTTTCATGCTATATGAATAAAGCTGAAATTACATCTGTGGCATGTTTGGATACTCTGAATTAGAACAAACTATTGACTGATAGTTTTGATTTGTATCTGATTTTGAATTAAAATTGTAATAGCTATTCTTTCATACTCATTGCTTCTAAAGTAATAATTAGTTTAGATTCAGCTTATTTTAAACAGCATTATAATTTAACATTTAATGAATTAGTATATAATACTTTCTAGCTATTCCCTATGAAATCTATTATTTCTAGATAAGCAAAATATGACTGAATTAGCCATAACAGACCCTCATTAATGAAAATTCTCAAGGATGAACTTCAGGAGGAAGGAATGAAAACAAAGCAGTAAATATCTGGGAGTAAGAGAACATCCAATAAATAATAATAAGTGGTGATGTTTAAAAATAGGATAAAATTAAAGTTAAACAACAAAAATCAGAAAGAAGATATATAGGAGCTAAAGTGGCCCAAGATACTCAAACTGTCTAAGAGAAGCATAAAAATATTGATTAACTTTATACTTTAAAATTATGCATATTTTATTTCTTTATTTTATTTATTTTATTGAAAATAATACAATATCTAACTTAAAATGCAGAAAGAAAAAATGAATGATAATTTTTAATTCAAAAGAAAGCAAGAAAGGATAGATAAAGAAAGAAAGGAAGAACATATTTTTAAAAAGAGAGACCTACAAGGGTGGAGCGGTAAGTGGAAGCTGCACTAGCTTCCTCCCACAGCCAATCTGGAATTACGACTAAACTGTAGAGAAAGCATCCTGACTCTTGAGTATTAATCTTATATCCTGCAACCTTTTCCATAATTGCTCATTAGTTCCCAGGAGCTTTTTAGTCAGCTCTTCAGCTATTCTACACAGATGTCCTATTATCTGAAAACAAAGACAATTTTATATTTTCCTTCCCAATCTGTAGACCTTTTTATTTCCTTGCTTGCCTTACCACATTAGCAAGGATGTCCTGTATGATGCTGAAGAGAAATCGTGAGGAGAAATCCTTGCTGTGTACCTGTTCTTAGTGGAAAAGCTTCAAGTTTTTCACCACTAAGTATAATGTAAGTTGTAGTTTTTTTGTAGGTCTTTATCAAGTTGAGGCAGTGTCCCTCTATTCCTAGTTTACTGAGGGGTTTTCTTATTTTTTTTTAACATGAATAAGTGTTGTATTTTGTCAAATGCTTTTTCTACCTCTATTTATATAATCATGTGATTTTTTTCCCCTTTAAACCCATTGATGTGATGGACACATTAATTTTTGAATGTTGACCCAGACTTGCATACTTGAGATATTTTGGTCTATATTTTCTTCTAAATTTGTTCCAAATTATCTAGTTATTTATGCTCAGAGGATAATTCTAGACTCAGCTATTCACTCATAGCCAGAAGTAAAATTCTGTATGTATTTTTGTTATGTCACCTCTTTAAAAATTTTTGCCATTTGGCTTTCTGGGGCGCTTAAAATTTGTTTTCATTGCAACTCAAGGGAGTTGGAACTGGCAAGAGTAAAGTTCTGATAAAACTGTTTAAAATGACCTGTGTAAAGCTTTTTAACATAATCATTCTCTACTTTACTCTTAGGTGTTTGTTGTATCCTGTAATCATATTTTTTCTTATGCCTGAAATAAGCTCCAATATAATGTTTGTCTTGGATGGCATACTCTGGATATACTAACATTCATGGTCACCATTATTTACCCTGGTGTGGGCTGAAGATTTACTCAACCAAAAACACCTTGTCTCATTCACTGTCCTGGGAAAAGAAGATTATAAGTAGCTTTTATAAATGTTCATTAACCTGTATCCATGAGTAATCTGAAATGTTTACAAAGTCTCTACATTAACTTTAATAGATAGGTCAGAATAAATCTATTCTTTAAAGGGACTCAAATCATAGCCACAAGCCATAAATTACTGTACTCAGATATCTCGGGCTGTTTATAAGTGTTAGAATTTACTTTTGTAAGCCATCACTGAAGAATCATGGACTTGAACAAAGTCAAAATTCTGAATTGTTTGGAGATACATTTTCCTGGTTACTTTGGTGAGAGCTTTTGCCACTTGTTCTTCCTTGCATGACAGCTTGCTTCAGTTTTCTTATTTTGTTTTCTATTCCCGAGTGACATTGGCCTGATTCCATTCATTGCCTTGTTATGTTGGGAACCGCCCTGACTGGTATCAGAGGCTGAAACCCCCGCCTAGCTAAGGCTAAGGGAACGCCCTTGGAACCGTGAGCCAGCAAGGAGACAAAAGCTTATCTTCCTGGCAGGAATGCTGCTTCTGCTGCTTTATTCATAACTGAACCCCCCAAAAGCTTGGTCGGTTAGCCAAAGACGGGTAAGATTCCCCCACGGGGGAACGACCTAAGCCAGGCACGATCACTTTGGGAGGCCCCCCAAAAGAAGGACTTGGGGGGGCTGCAGCAAAAGGGGGGTGATGGACCCTCGCTCCTCGGCTTTGACAAAGTCTGAGTTCTCAGCGTCTGGAAGAAAATCTCCTTATCTCTTGGTTACCTAGTTCCCTTGCTCCACCTAAGCCTGAAACAATGACAGGGTGGTGCAGCTCCGTACTGAGAAGTGCGGATTTCCCAGGGTGATCAGGCCTAAGAAAGAACATGTAAATTACTGTGAAACCTTCTTTGTTTAGAATGCTCTCAGTTGAATGAGAAGGGTCTTAGGAGGAAGTTAGTTTGTTCCTCAGTCTTACAGCTCTTTGACCCCCAACTCAATAGACGGGCAGAGTTCTTTGTTTTCTATAGTTCCTTACTTCCCTCTAATGAGTACTGTACTTTACCTGAATTATTATGCAAAATGAGCCTAATAAAAGCAGGTATGGACGGTAAATCAGCGCGCTCCTCACTAGAAGGGGTGGCCATTTCGTCCCTACTTCTCCACAGAAACTAGTTTGTCTCTGTGCATGTTTTTTCTCGCGTGTTTATCGTCGAGCCATCCACAGCGTTCCGTGGTCACTGCTGGCCGGTGACCCACGCGCAACATTGTTACACACTGCTGGATTCTCTGTCAGTTATTCATACTGACTACAGGAAAGACATTCCATGTCAGACCCTATCTTCCCCCATAGATCTTGGTAGGCTCAAGAAGACTGAATCTAACTGAACTACACTATCACTCTTTCTGTTCCCATATACAGTCTGTGTGAAATTGTTCTGCTTTAAACATTCCCAACGCTGGATAACTCAGGACACAAACTATGTTACAACCTATGTACTGTCGACTTTCGTCCCAGAAGGGAGACCCACAAAGTTGAAGGCTAAGAAACCAAAGCAGAAGCTTCCTTTATAGTTCACAAAAAAAAAAGTTTTCCAAGAAACCACAGTATAATTACAGAAAATATAGCAATGCTAAATATACTACCCAAAACACAGAATGAAAAAATGAGGCAAGCAAAACTTCAGATTAAATCTATGATTATATTATTCTCATGACTGAAAGATGGCATTCTTTCAGTCAGTCCACAGTGGGTATGTAATACTACATGGACACAATAATATGCAAAAGGGAGGATATGAAAACAGTCTTTTTAAAAACTCCTATGCCTTAGTTACACTACTCACACCTTTATGTGCAAAACGGAGAGAAATGAGTTCATTTCTTCTATTATGAAGTATTTCTTTCATATTTATGCTATTGTATACATAGTTCTCTTGGCCTGGAATAAGACCTTGAGGTTGAATAAAACCAGCTTTTTTTGTGATATGAAAATGTATTTGGAAATTAAGAGAAAATCTCTCTCTATCTCTATCTATCTCTATCTCTATCTATCTCTCTATCTCTCTCCCTCCCCACTCACATTGAACTCTCTCATTGAATGAACAAATTGGTTTTCACTGAAAAGTGCTTAAAAGGTCCAGGTACATGGACAAATCACTAGTCCAAATGCCACAATTGCTTCTGCCAACTCTGGATTTTTTTTTAGTTTGATACCATCATTTTTTAAAATATATTTTATTGATTATGCTATTACAGTTGTCCCATTTTCCCCCTTCACTCCCCTCCACCCTGTACACCCTCTCCCACCCATTTCCCCCCCTTTAGTCATGTCCATCTGTCATACTTATAAGTTCTTTAGCTTCTACATTTCCCATACTATTCTTACCCTCCCCCTATCTATTTTCAACCTACAATCTATGCTACTTATTCTCTGTACCTTTTCCCCCCTCTCTCCTCCTCCCACTCCCCTGTTGCTAACCCTCCATGTGATCTCCATTTCTGTGGTTCTGTTCCTGTTCTAGTTGTTTGCTTAGTTTCTTTTGGGTTTGCTTTAGGTGTAGTTGTTAATAATTGTGAGTTTGCTGTCCTTTTACTATATATGTTTTTTCTTTATCTTCTTTTCTTAGATAAGTCCCTTTAACATTTCATAAAATAAGGGCTTTGTGATGATGAACTCCCTTAACTTGACCTTATCTGAGAAGCACTTTATCTGCCTTTCCATTCTAAATGAAAGCTTTGCTGGATAGAGTAATCTGGGATATAGGTCCTTGTCTTTCATGACTTGGAATATTTCTTTCCAGCCCCTTCTTGCCTGTAAGGTCTCTTTTGAGAAATCGGCTGACAGTCTGATGGGAACTCCTTTGTAGGTTACTGTCCCCTTATCTCTTGCTGCTTCTAGGATTCTCTCCTTCATTTTTACCTTGGCTAATGTAATTATGATGTGCCTTGGTGTGTTTCTTCTTGGGTCCAACTTCTTTGGGGCTCTCTGAGCTTTCTGGAGTTCCTGGAAGTCTATTTCCTTTGCCAGAATGGGGAAGTTCTCCTTTATTATTTGTTCAAATACATGCTCAATCTGTTGCTTTTCCTCTTCCCTTTCTAGTACCCCTATAATTCGGATGTTGGAATGTTTAAAGATGTCCTGGAGGTTCCCAAGCTTCTCCTCATTTTTTTTTGAATTCTTATTTCTTCATTCTTTCCTGTTTGGTTGTTTTTTTATTCCTTCTGGTCCACTCTATTGTTTTGAGTCCCAGTTTCCTTCCCATCACTATTGGTTCTCCGTGCATTTTCCTTCATCTCTTTTATGGTAACCTGCATTTTTTCATCTAATTTGCACCCAAAATCAACCAATTCTGTGGGCTTCCTAATCACCAGTATTTTGAACTGTGCATCTGATAGATTGGCTATCTCTTGGTCGCTCAAAAGGATGAGTCCTGGGGCATTGATCTGTTTTTCTGTTTGAGACGTGTCTCTCTCTCTCTCTCTCTCTTTCTCTTTTGGTCTGGTTGCTCCTGTTACAGTGAGGGGTGGAGCCTTAGGTGTTCAGCAGGGCTGGGCACCCCAGTCGCTAGATTATGACGTTGTATGTGGGGGCGGGGGCTGGAGGGAACAATGGCGGTAGCTCCATTCTCCTGGGACCTCAGTCCCTTCTCTGGGACCCTGAGTTGTGCGCTCTGCCCTGGTCCACAGTCCCCACCTCACTGGGTCCGCCAGCTGCCACTTGCGTACTCAGGGTCCACCCACTGCAATCTTGTGTGCCCCAGATGCCTTACGCGTTCCCAGTTGCCTTATGTGCTCAGTTCTCCCTGTTCTCCCCTCGCCGAGACCCCGCGCCTGGCTGCTCCTCTCCGCCCCTCCTACCAGTCTGGATGAATGGGTATATTTCAACTTCTTGGCTGTCTGACTTCCATTCAGATAAATTCTCTATCAGTTCTGGGTGTTATTCTACCTCTAAATTGTTGTTGTTCTAATCTTGGTTGTGCATGGAGGTACAGTGCGTCCACCTATGCCTCCATCTTGCCGGAAGTCTGGATTTTTTATTTAATGACAAATTTTAGAATGAATACCTATATCTTTAAGAGAATCTACAAACAATCAATCCAAGTGGACTTGGTAATAGTAGCTTGAATACCAAACAGTTTCCCACTCTAGAATTTTGATGAATGCCAGAAGCATGTAAGTAACTGACAGGTACCACTTCTAATTACAAAAGGATCAACAAGGAAGATACCATGTTTGGAACCAGGATATAAGAGGAGGAGAAATGGGAAACAAGTAAATAGAAGGCAACCTAAATTCAATAAACCATAGGAAACTAATACTTAATAGCAAAGGTTAATGAAGATGCCCAACACGACAGCTGCTTTCTGTTCTTTACAAATATGGAAGCAAAACAATCCCAATATGCAAATCAACTTAGTGTCACAATATTGGCATGAACCCAGAATCAGAAGAGCAAGGAATCTAACTACTAGAACATATGGATAAATCATAAAATGACACACAAAGCTTAAAATAAACTCTACTAAGAGCTGCCTTCTAAAAATTGACAAAATATGTTTTAAATACATACAACTTGTTCTTACCATATTTAAGTTCTTCAGGTCATGTCCATACATCATGAACAAGATATCATGGCAAATCTTACCAAAAATCTTTAGTGGACATAGCTTTGAACCAATAATTCTTTTAAATGAGGTATGAGGTAAGAAGTCTTTGTTGCCCCAAAATACCTGTAAAATAAATTTATTTTATTCATATTTAGAAGAGGAAAATAATGTATCAAGAAATGATTTGGTGAGTTCACTGTGTTTATAACTTAATGCAGCATCTCACAGTAGGTTAAAGCATTTAAATTAAGGACAAAACTGAGAAGCAGAATTTAGATATGATTTGACTGCTAGATTTTCATTCACACTAAGATGTTCTAGAGTACCACAGATTCTTTTCTAAAAACAAAGGCAAGAATCCAGTGTGAATGAAACAAACAAAAAAATCAGTTCATGCATGTGGCTCTGTGCAAGCATAGTTAATTAAGACTTTATGTTTTGAAAGTAAGAATCATTGTCTTTTGGGGTGAGCAACAACATAAAGGAAATAAGTAACATACCTTGATCACTGACTTCCACTTGTATGCCATTTTAATTATAGGGCTTTTTATGTATTTAATGGAAAAAACTGGTGCTAGGGCAAAAAATATTTTGATTCTTTCAGCTATCTTTGGTATTGTGGAAAATGTTATGAAACCTGAAAAAAAGATATAAATGAACTATTCCTAAGTAATTACTAGCATGCAAGAAAAGACACTGTGGTGAATAAAAGTTCAGTAGGTTCTAAACAATTAATTTATTAATTTTTTAATTTACTTATCAAATATTTCCTGATAATCCAGTATGAGAGATACATATTGGTCACAACATAATGCTAATTATTAGGATTAAAAATATGTAAAGACCATAAATGATGAGAGTTCATTGATAAATCAGTCTTGTAACATCATAATTTAAAAAACAGAAAATATTGAATATTTGTATAAATGACAATGGCAAAAATGTGGTTAGTGAATTTTTCAGGTAAATGAATCTTACACTTTAGGTGAAAAATTCAATAAATGTCAAATTGTTTTAATGTTTACTGTTAATATATTTTAAAACTCCCTTGCCTTCTAGTACAGAAAATACTAAACACCACTTTATATTGTGCTGATAATTTTAAGTCATTATTATAGCAAATAGAGGTTGTTCCCTTGCAAGTGATCAACTTGCAGATATCTACTTGTATTGTTTTTTTCTCCCTGGGTTCTAAGAAGTCAAATAACCAAAAAATTATGTATTATATTATGAGTCAAGAAGCTCTGGGTGACCTATCACACTTTTTTAAATTTAATAATTTTCTAAGATTCTTAGTTTCACAGAACTGAAGAGCTGATGAAAATCTGGACTAAAAGTCACACACATGGTTAATAAATGTCAGAGAGAATATCTGTGAAAATTAGGAATAGATTATTATTCAAGATACTTTTTCTAGTAGGAAGATAATCTCCATAAGAAAGTGATACTCTTCAGCCAAAAAAACTCATTTAATATTAGCTTCTATTATAAAGTTTTCTAATTCCAAAGTAGAAAGAGTAACTTTAAATAAGCAGGTTTATAATACCATGTAAGAAATTATGTTAGGAAACACTTTCTTAAAGGTAAGTTGTTACACATTAGACAGAAGCACTAGTGTTGTAAGGAGATGAGAGTTCTTTTCTAGATGTGTTTAAGTAGAGGGAGGTTTTCCTCATCTTTGTATACAGTATTTCTTAAATTCAATCTGTTCTAAATGCCAAAATATAAACAACCTTTTCAAGTCTCTTACCCATAAAGCCTTAGGCTATAGTTTTAAAAAATTATGAAATTTCTGTTTGTGAAACAGGTGATAGTTATGATCTCACTTTGACCGAAGATGGATATCCAATTTTTATACAACTGGAAACAAAGCAACAAACAACCTTGTTTGTACAATCAATTCTTTGTGACCAGAGAAGACTATGTGGAATCGAAGCAGGACACAAACTCCTAGGGCATTGCTGTGCAATGCTTGCCTCAATTCTGCCTTGTCTCACTTACAGGTCTGGAAGCTTATCTACATCCTTAAGAAGCATATGTACAAATTTTTAAGATGTAACTAAGGAATACTGGCACCAATCTTTCTGGCCATACCAATAGTTGTACCCTGTGAGTGGCCTACATAAAATATTTCCTTTTGTCCAGTTTGCTTCACAATGAAATCGATGGAGGCTGGAAGGTCATACTTAGCCATTTCATCAAAACTACAAAAGAAAAAGAAAAATGCAACTTGGAGCAATGTTATATTAACATTTGAATGTAATAAATAGGTAGATGAGTAAAGAGGATTTCAGCTCTTGTTGGGTATGATCAAGAAGTTACATGGTATAATGCATCTACTGAATAAAGACTTCTGTGAGAGCACTAAGTCCAGGAAATGAAATTGCCCCAAAGTAATCTGACAAAGAGGGTATTTGAATGTTCCAAGGATAGTGGATTAGACTAAAATGTAGGTTACAGGGTGAAAGAGTAGTTCAAGGAAATCGGTAGTCAATAAAGCTTACCGCTGAAAAATGAGAAACAAATTTAAAATCAAGCACTCTTGATTATAAGGTCAATTAAAAGCCCTCAGTTGAGAAAGGAGACTTTTTAAATTTCATTTAAAAGGAAAAAAATGTTTAATACACTTATAAAGTAAAATGAAACATTTCTTGATTTTATTTGTACCTGAAAGCCCAGAATTCTTTGGAATTTGTCTTTAGGTACAAGTGTTTTCTGGACCAGGTGGTCCCCCTGCTGTTCCCCATCCAAACATCATAACCAGCGTCTGCCAGAATGAAGCCCAGGCTGTTGTTGGGAAGGTTGGAAATCCAGCTGCTGGCAGATGTAAGCAAACCATGTTGCAAGTATACAACAAGCTTCTGAGCTAGAATAAATAAAATTTAAAAAAAAATTTTGTAATGTCTACATGAATATCTCATCTGAAATTCAATCTTTTAATACATTATAGTTTAAACATTTTTCAAAAGTGATATAAATAGGCTGTTAATAATGTTTAATCCCTTTCTATGTCAGAATCATTTAACAAAGTTCAGTGCTGAATTTCTTTCAGATAACCAAGTGAGCAACTAGGTCATGTCCCACTTAAACATATAAACTTTAAGGATATAGAATAGTCAAATACAGTGGTACCTCAGTACTCAGCTTCAGAACTCGTCAAACCTGGTACTTGTCCCATTTTGATGAGAAAAAATATTTCAGCACTTGGTGCTTGCTTGACACTCATTGCACTTGCTAAAACTTGTATGAGCCATGACGCCACCCCGCAAGAGACAATGCTTCATCACTCATCACTGCTTGCCACTCATCGGAACGGATTAACGAGTACGGAGGTACCACTGTATGTAATAGTAATTTGTGTGTGTGTGTGTGTGTGTGTGTGTGTGTGTGTGTGTATAATATTTATATGATTTTCCCACTTTTCATTTCATGAAACGATTTTATTATCACATTCATCAGCCATATTTAATATAGGTGCCATCATTACAACTGTGTGTTACTCATCTAACAGAATTCCCAGAGCCCTACTTTATACATCCAAGGTTTTTGAGAAATACCATCTCTTCAATAGTGTAAGATATGTTCACTAGTAACTTGGTTCCCCCCCTCCCACAAGTTGTTATTCACACACAATCCACCTTATTATCATCTAAAGAAGTGAAACTGACAATGTTTCCTAAAGTCAGTTAAGGGTTCTTGTAAGCTTAGAAAATTTCAGAATTGCAGCAGCGAATTGTGAAGGAAAGGAGAAAAGGGTTTAGATGTAGTTATGCTAAATCTATTAAATAAGACCAGAATACCCACCAACTGATAAAGATGCCTTGGGAGATTTTGGAGGATGTTCTATCCTCCAAGTTTTTTTAAAAAATGTACTGGTGAGAACAGCAGCAGAATTTAAAAGCTAAGAAGTGGAGAATTTCTGCTTTCATTTATGCTTCCAGATAACTGGAAGAAGAATCACTCACACTTTTAGAAAAAACTAGGTTCGAATTCATAACTTCTAAAAACTCATAAAAAAGTGATGTCACAAAGCACAAATCTGGACCAAAATCTGAAGAGAAACAGGTGCTTGCAGGGTGAGAAGAGTCATAAGTCCTCCCTACAAGGGAGACACAATCAGAAGAGTTCAGGTAGAATAAGTAATTAGTGAATCAGGTACAGATGAAGCTTCTCAGTGCATTAGGTATTGGGAAATTCTATACCCTCCTGCAAGCTCTTTCCCATGGAGCCTACATGAAACTCACAGAAAAGACTGGAAAAAGTCTTTATTGTGGTGCAGACCTGTAAGAGGAAATAGCAGTTATTCAGAAGGAGCAAGAACCTCTCCTCTAACCCTACACCCATCAGCCTTGCAGAACAACATTTAACTTGTGTGTTGCGGGGGTGGGGAGAGTCGTTAGGAAAGGGACAGGAAGAGCAACCAACACTACACAGAGCACACTAACCAAGCAAGTGCTTTGGAAGACTCAACCAATTTATGTCAGCCAGATACTGTTTTTAGCAACCCCATTGCTATGCAACACACTCAAAAAGGCAAAGTCATGATTGTGGAGACGTAGGCTAAACACTGGCCCATCATTATGGGCCTACTTGCCAAGGCAGACCTAGCTACTGCCGGGGCAGTATGTCTGACCTGTCAGTAAAGGAGATCTTACGTGGTACCTACCCTCAATGAGACGAAAAAGAAACTTGGAGATAATTTAGATACTTCAGTCCCATTTTCTCCATGGAAAGGGCAATTCATTACCAGTAGGTCTGATACACATTTCTGCTATGATTTGCCTTTCACTCCACACAGGACCATAGCCAGCACCGCTCTTCAAGAGTTCACAGCGTGTCTGCTCTACCTACATGGGACACTGTCCCCTTCCCCAACTCACTCCCAACTCAACTATAATCAAGAGTCAGCCAGCCTTGTAAAACAATGAAACAAAAAATTGAGGGCTCAGGGGAGATGGCAGCTGGGATATGATATCCTGGAAGTATGCATACTGTCTTTCGGGATTTATTATACACCCTAAACACGCGATCATAATACAGTGCTGATTCCCCTAGTTAGTAGAATACATAAGTTTCAAGGGGGAAAAAAGGAGCAGCATTAAGGATCATTATCACTCCTGGTAACTCCTTTAGAGACTTACAATTTCTGTCTTCACAATTTTAGGCCCTATTGATCTAGAGGTCCTGGTTTCCAGAGAGCAAATGCTTATAGCGGTGCACAGAGTAAACATCCTAAGAAACCTAAAGCTATGACTACTGCCTGTTCACTTTGGGCTCCTCCCGCTAGAAGACTGGGAGACAAAGGAAAGCATTACCGTAATGGCAGGACTAATTGGCCTTAATCATCTTAAAGAGGTAGGGCTGCTGAAGACAGAGAAATTATATTTGTTATTCAGATGATTCTCTTGGGCATCTTTTGTTATTCCCATGCCTTGTTTTAGCTGTAAAAGTTCAAGTCAGCAACTATGAACTGTTATGAATGTAGTAGTCCTTCCATAGCGATGAGGGCCTGGCTTACCTCTTCAGGAAAAATAACTGGGAGGGAGGAAAATCTATGATGGGTAGTGGAAATGGGAATTTATGAGTACCAGTTATGGCATTAAAATCAGCTACAACAGCAGATGTACGAATTTGCCCCACTAACCTGTTCTCATAAGTTTTCCCAGGAATTATGACCAACCGCAATTCTAGAAAAGCTGTTCCTGAATGAAATAAGTTTAATGTGAAAAACAGGTGAATCTGAGTAGTGCAAGGGATGCGTTCTGTTAGGTTATTTAGGTGCCCCACCTAGGATTCCTTTCCTAAGCAGGTAGGCCATTCTCCTAGCTGTTATAAACTGCTTTTGAAGGGCTCACCATTGCCCCTTTCTCTGTAGACCTGTCCCCAAGCAAATGGGAATTGCCTCACTCAGGAGATTACATCTTTTTCTATAGGTAGCCTTAGGCACTGACTGATATGGGGACACAAAAACTAGTTCTCTAACTACAACTGGGTCCACCTCTGTAGCACAATTCATAAATCCTTGAGGTCCTCTGAGATCATATTGCAGCTAGATGTAGCTGAGTCACATCCTTCCTTAGTTCCTTTGCATGGTCTACCCTGATTTCCACATTACTTTCTCTTGACAACATTCCATCCATAAATAATATTCACTTGAATTCCTGTCTCTTGACCTGCTTATAGAGAATTCTAAGGCATGTACTGTATTTTTAAATTATCTTTAAATATTTTATTACAAGATTTGCAAACTTAAATCTTACCTTAAGGAATGATTATTATAATTATGTTAAATTTATGTTAATACTTTCTGTCTAGTAGATGTCACCTTTATTAGAATACAAAATTACATTGATTGGGGTTGTTTTAAATTAACGTGTCTTCTCTGAAATATACTTAATATTCAAAATGAGAACTTGAGATGGTGTCTTATGATATGAGAAAAATTCTTTACTAGGAGAAAAATCTAAAGAGAAAAAACTGGCTTTTATTTGAGCAACTAGATGAATAAACAAAGTAACCCATTACATATTCTGCTGATAAGTGTAGATAGAGGATTATAACTCTAGTGATGAATGCTAGTGCATGCATTTTTTCCACCTCACTCTGCTGCTAGTGATACACTTATTGCTGCAATAAAGAGCCATGAAGCTGCTACCCACCTGATCTCTGCTATTACAGAAGGAAAGAGTCATAATTATGAAAAAATTTTCCCAGCCATTCTTCATTCCTACAGAATAATGTTATTATGGTTCAGAGTGTTTCTAACCCCTAATTAAACAAGTCCCAGAGAATCAACATGTATGAGTAAAGTGATCCACAAAGAAAATCTGGGAGGCCCTGGCTGGCGTAGCTCAGTGGATTGAATGCGGGCTCGAACCAAAGTGTCCCAGGTTCGATTCCCAGCTGGGTACATTCCCAGCCAGGGTACAGGCCATAACCCCCAGCAACTGCACATTGATGTTTCTCTCTCTCTCTCTCTATCTCCCTCCCTTCCCTCTCTAAAAATAAATAAAATCTTAAAAAAAGAAGAAAAACAAAAGAACATTTGGGAGAAACAACTTGTGTTCCACCGTACTTTAAAACCACTCTGTGAACAGTAAGCCACTGGAGAATCAAACTCTTCTTGGGGCACGTAGAGAGATGTATGAGGAAGTAAACTGTTCACTTGCCGTTCAGTTCCTTTTCTTGTCCTAAACTCACTGAGGAGAAGGAATAAAAAAAGTTAAGAAATTCTGGCCCTAGAGAGTCAACAATTTATCTTGAATTGAATAATACCTGCTTTGTTATCATTTTTTATCTTTCCATAAGGAATTCTATAAAGACCAAGAATATAACCATCTTCAGTTACAATATCATACTCTTCATCTGGATATCCCCAATAAGAAATAATTTGACTCTAGGCAAAAAAAAAAAAAAACGGCAAACCTTTCAGAATAGATTTCAAGACAATTAATATAAATTAATTAACCTAACTTATTAATATAATAATAAGTTCTTTTAACCTCAGGCCCTTTTTTTTTATCAGTTTCCTGATTTATTCAGTAATAAGTATTTGTAGACACCTACTAAGCACCAACCTTCTACAATAGGAATTCTTGGATAAATAAAAAACATAAACCCCTGTCTCCAAGGAGATTCCTCAGAACTAACCGATTATTCTTTTTCTAAGTACTAATAACTTAGATTTTTACCTACTTACCCTTATATAATTTAAAAATATTTTTCTATCAATAAATGTTTACATGACTATGTATATATCTAACTCTTCTCATTATATTAGCAATGGCTGAACTTTTTCTGGACAGACCTCATATTAGTTAACCTATATAAAAATATGTGGGTGCAGAAATAAAAATTCGACTATAGATCTATCAAATTAAAAAATTGGGTAACATTCACTGTTATTTTATCAACTTAACAGTTATTTTCTAACAACTTACAATATTCATATTTGCTTCAGGGTTCACAGATCTTCGATATTGAAGAGCACCATGAGTAGTTCCAAGATTTAATATAAAAGATATCACTTTGAAGAGGTACCACATTTGGGATCTACATATAAAAGCAGATGTCAATACTATTAAAATTGCAGCAAATAATATCTTTGACTCTTTAAATAATTCCATGAAGTAGAAAACATTACCTTTTTCAGGTAAGAACACTGAGGCTCTTAAAAATTAAATAACTTGTCTAAAGATACACGATACATAATAGTCGAGGTTCAGATTCAGGCCCGCTTCATTTCAAAACCCATATTTCCAACTGCCATGCTTTTCCAGCTGCCATGTTTCATAGCAGAGACTCCTTCTTTGAAGTCTCCATTATAGTATTATTTAGCCCAACTCCAAGAGCTTTATCATACATTGAAAGTTAATTAAATTAATAATGTATCAATGTTGATATAGAAAATCTGAGCAAGATGAGCCAAAACCTTGATCAAATTAGTTTTATGAAATATCATGCCACAACTTTTTTTAAAGTAGATGAAGAACATTCACTCAGAAAGACCATATGTTGGTCATGAAATAAGTATTAATAAATTTCAAAAATATTAAAATATTGCAAAGTATGTTTTTGGACCACAACAGAACTAAATTGGAAGAAAATATCAAGAAAATGTAGAGAAACCTCAAATATTTAAACTGTAAATAGTATATTTATGAACATATGAATAACCAGGGGTCCAGAAAGATAAACCAAGATATATTAGAGAATATTTGTGACCAATGGATTAGTACAGCATACTGTTTCTTGATATGTTGGATTTAATTGAAATAGGGCTTAAGGAAAGTTTGTAACTGCTAAGATACCTTGTTCACATAATAATAAGTAGATAGGAATAGAAGAACTTCTGTTGAATAATGTCAGTTAATTTTGCAAGATCATGAGTTACATGTTAAAAGTATAATGACTTGAGCAATATTTAAAGAAGTGACAAAGGAGGCTCCTGCATGCCATACTCCCATAGACATACTAAATAAACAGCTAGATGCACATGGAGCAAGTCCCTCTGCAAGAAACCCAGAAACTACCTTAGCGACTTCTATACATCAGGCAAATAGGAAAATATCCACTTCAAAATGGGTAGAAAAGGATGAAACATGCTCACACCATAAATCCCACTGTGCACAATACCATACAGTTTGGAGAGATTCCCAAACTCCCAGCTTATTCCTGAGAGAAAAGGGTATCAGCACCACATCCATGGCCCCAACTTTTAAGTCATTCGCTCTGGCAATGGACCTCCTCTCCCAAACACCTAGGTCTGAAAGCCAACCACACCTGCACCCTCAAGACACACAAGGCTATAAGCAAACAAACAAGCAGTTATTAGTGGTCATGAGCACCCAGTGTATATATTACCCCAAGGTTCAGTGTACAGGGAGCTGGAAAAAATGCCCATCTCCTCATCTTTCCCTAAACAGGGTCTATATTTTGCAAACTTCTAAAACTGCGGACTGAGGATTAGGCATTTGATTCAGCAAATATCTGGGTACTTACTGTTATCCTCCCCTTTGGGCCACTGATGGGCTTGACATGGTCTCAACTACTGGGAGCCACTAAGAACAAAAATGGTGGTTTGGGTAATCACGAATGTCAGAAAAATAGAGTATGGGCCAGTCTGACTCATAAGGTTAATCACTTACCTGAGACCACTCTGTCCAGACTAGCAGAGGTGACTATTTTAGCTAATGCACAGAAACCAACATAGAAAGTCAAGAAAAATGAAAAAACAGGAATTTCAAACACAAGAACAAGATAAAACTCTAGAAACAGATGTTAGTGAAATCAAGATAAGTGATTAACCTGACAGAGAGTTCAAAATAATAGTCATATATATACTCCCAAAGATCAGGAAAAAAATGAATGAACAATGTGAGGATTTTGAATGGAGATGGAAAATCTTGAAAAGTATCAAACAGAAATCACAGAGGTGGAACATACAGTAACTGAACTGAAATATTAATAGAGGGGTTCAACAGTAGGCTAGACCAAACAAAAGAAAGGATTAGCAAACTAGTGTGCTAATTTTTGTGTGAACAATGACCTAAAGAACAATGACCTAGAAAACAAACCAGAAGCTCAGTCTTAGCCACCTTGTGTGTGTGAACAATGACCTAAGGAATAAACAATGACCTCCTAGAAGACCAAGACCAGGCAGAAGGGATATTAAACAGAATGAATCTGAAAGCTGTAAAACAATTTGCTATCCCTACAGCCTCAACTTTCTGTTTGTAACTTGCCACACAATATTGATTAAAAAATGAACGGAAGGAGTTCTTCATCAGTTTCGATGATGTTGTAGAACTTCACATCAATAACAAAGGTGTTGGAGAATAGCTTCCAAATGTTGGTTTTACAATTTTTGATTACTCTAAACCAGTTCAGAGTATTTTAGTTGCAAAACCAATTATGCTCTGAGGGGAACTGCATTTAAATGTGGAAGAGGAAGAACAAGTGCTGCTAGGGAGCAAGAAACCAGATGTGGTGGTGATGATCGCAGGGATATCAGGTGTAATTATTGAGGCCCTGGTGATCCACATGGAATAGTGGGTGATGGAATAACAGATGACCAGGTTAGATGAGGAACTCCTCCAAGAGGTGGCAAGGCACAGGAACTTGGCTCTGGAAGTGAAACTGGGCAGATGGAAGGCCATTTCACAGGACAGTGTCAGTGAAGCCCCACTATTGGCAAAGTCTTGGTAGGGGTACATCTTTATGGTGTTTGCATTTTTACTAATGTTTTTGGCTTTGGAATGTAACACAGCTTTTTGATCGTTTCTTTGGTGTGAAAAGTATCCTTTGGTTTTGAGGTGAACATTATTTCTCATTTCCCCAATTTCATGACAAGATTAACATTGTTAATATACAAATCTAGACTTGTAGAATTAAGGACTGAGGAATGACTATATCTTAAACTATCTACAACAAAAGGAAGTTTTTAAAAGGACATGCCCAACTGAATTCAGGTCCTTTGAGTCAAAAAAAAATCCTCTGCTTTACATTTTGTTTAAGTGTTACTGTTTCTGCCTATTAATGTTGGGAACATAAATAGTGCCACTGGAAATTCTTGCTTTTTCATTGGCTTCCTTCACCCCCCAAAATACAAACCAGCAGGAACTTGTTATGCACGCATCAAAATGCCCTAATGTGTACTCTGAACTCATTAACATTGAAATTTGCAATGAAAGGCAGCAGGGGGTTTCCAGTAGAGAATAGTTTTCCAGTAGAGAATAGTTTGAAAAATGATGAGGGCATTTTATCTGCTTGTTGTGACCTGTGTTTACACATAAACCTTAACATATCTACAAGTATATTCTGAAAGGAAATTATTTAGTTTGAACTGAATAACAAAAATCAAAACTTTAAATACTATGATCTTCAATACTAGACCAGACTAGTATATAACCATTTTCTATCTTCCCCTCTTCAGTACAGGGATGGTTGGCTGCTCAACAACCTCCTCCTCTCCTTTATTTCTTTAAACTAGGTATAGTGAAAGTTGTCTTCACTGTATTTTTGTTCTCTGGTAATGTAATTAGCATGATATTGCCTTCCATTAATACATCATTCCAGTCTTGCCAGTAATTTTGTACAGTAGAATGTATGAACTGCTGTGCTGCAAAGTGGAACAATTGCAAAATGTTAAAAAAATTAGTGAAGTGTGTAAAAACTGCAATATCTTTAAAATTAGTAAATTGACTTTAGGTAACAACTAAAATTAGTAAAAACTGTTTAGTTAACAGCTTTGTGTTCTCCGTGGGATGGAGTCTGATGTGTTTGGGTGGGAGAGGGAAGGAAGCAGTTATTTGAGTAAGTCTCTTGTTAACTGTTCTCTTAGCATGAATGTGAACATGGAAGCAGATCACTTGAGAGGTGCTCGGAAAAGTCTATCAACTTGATGTACATGAATAGTGATATTTAAAAGCAGTCAGATTCCAAAAATAGCAAGTAAACTAGTAGTAAGAATGTTGCAATTTTCAGAGAAAAGAACAGCAGATTTTCAATGTTTGTATTCTCTATTTGGGGGGCAGAGATATGTCATTAATTTAGCACAATTCCTCAACTGATGTCTGCAGCCAGTAAGTCTGGGATGACATCTTTTATTTTTGCATGAATCTCTAAACAATTCTGTGAACAAAGTTTATAGCTGCTGAAATATTGTCTGTCTTTATTACAAGTTCCAGTTAACTGTAGTATGGCAAAGGACATTCAATTTTACACTTGAAGCATTCAGTACATACCAGTTTCTTATGTTTCCAGCTAGGAGTGGAATAAATAAGTGTGACCATTAAAGATGCTTGCTAGCATGGAAGATGTCTCCATTTTGTTTTGGTAAAAACAAAAATGCACTTGACATAGTAGCAAACTAGTTTTGAATCATGAAAGCTAGCAAATGATGCACATATTTTGTGTTTCATGTACTGGGTAATATAAGTTAAATTAAATCTATCTTTCGTTCCCCTTTGACGAGGTCTTCCATGTTTGAGGAAAAGTCTTGCCCTATTACATATATTTTGTGGATGACACGGATATGTAATTGTTTCCATTTGGGGGGATTTAAGGATACTTCTTTGTCCTAATACTTCTTTGTCCTGTTTAAAACATTTTTTACACTTTCTGACATATAGTTCTTGAAGTTATTATCAGAAATTAATTTTGAGTTTTGAAGCCTTTATCTAACTGTTTTAAAATAAGTGGTTTATTGGCAGTGTTTTTTATAGAATGTCTTTCCTTTAGTCTTTTATTTCTGTTTTCTATTTAATGTATCTAAAAGTTTTAATCCATGTTATGCCCTGCCACTCACAAAAACTGTTGTGGCATCCAAAAAATGGCACATGTTTAAATGAAATAGAAAGTTAGAACAAAGTGACATTCAGCTTCAGTTTTAACATTCCATGAATAAAACATTAAAACATCACATGGACAAAGTTATATGGTGATTGTTAATCAGCTGTACTGTTCACTTTTAATATTTGTCCCCTTTCCAGTGAACCACAGTAAAAATATTCATCTACTATTACTGTAATTTGCTGTTTTTGTA